CCCCCCCACTCCTTCGGTAGGTAGGATCTAGCACCAAGTCTTTTAGGAAAAGGAAGAAAAATGTTCAGTTGTCTCATGTGAAAGTTTCCCATATTAAAAATCCCTTGGCGGTTCTATCATCATAAATAATAGGCCCTTCAGGCCACATTTGAGGAAAATTCCAAATTAATTCCAACTCAAAACTGAAGCTACTCTGGTCAGTGTAAATATTAAGAGTAGCGGTACCCTGGAAAATAGCACATCGCTGTCTGTCAGGTAAAGAATGATTCAAGGTTGTATGTGGATAAAACTGCCATTTGGGTAAAAATCAACTGCATTGTTACATGATGACCAGTTACCCCCTGAACTCTGGCAGGGATACGATGAATAAAAAAAATTAAAAGAGGGTTTTTGTTTCAGACCAACCTTTCTAACAATACTTGAAAGACAAAGAAAAATGCTTTCTACAACGGAAAACAGTAAAAGGGCAAAAATATATATATACAAAAATAAAGTGTCAAAATTATTGCATACATTTTGATAAAAATATTATATCTATATTTTCTTATTGTAAATGTAACCTTTCGAAACAGCGCAGCCATTTTACTGGGACAAATTGTACAATGTCAAAAACCCCGCAGCTCTCAGAAACATATTTGTTATTCTTTACGTCCTTTAAAGAGCTGTGGAAAAGCAAAAACATTCAAATACCTTCAACAATGTCAACAAGTATGAAAACAAAACCTGTCAGGCCTGGCTGTAAAGGTAAATAAAATAAATAAAAGCCATTCCAAAAACATTATCACTATACAGCGTCCACCCTCTTTGTCTTAACCTCAGAAATCATCACAACTGACCATCTTAGAAGTGTCTCGGCAGGTTGCTGGACTGACCAGGACATTGAACCTCTGTTTTACGTCTAGTAAGAATTTTACAGCACTTGCAACACAAATAGGTCATATGATGCTTGAGATTAGAGGTGGCACTAGAGACTAGTGTACAAAGAAAAGCATTAGGAGCTATAAGAGGGGTAGATAGACATTTGATAGGAAAGAAAGAAGCACCTCTAACTAGGAGAACTTGACAAGAGAGAACCTGATGAAACCCACATGGCTAAGGCTAGCGCTGGGAGCCAGTCCCATCAGCTGATGGAGTCCACGACTCCTCAGACATGTTCACGGGACGACCTTGAAGAGTATTCACTTTCATGTACTTTACAGACTGGCCTCCGTCACTGGTATCGTAAAACTGCGACTGCTGCTGATGTGGCTGTTGCTGTTGTAGTTGCTGTTGTTGCTGCCCCTGAGCAGCAATATTCTGAGAGGAGACTACAGGAGTAGACTGGGCGAGACCTGGACTCACAACCTGTGGCGGGTATCCACCGGTCGCCCCTCTAGCCACAGTCACAACCATAGCCTGCCTTCCTTCTGCTGACTCTGAGGACAGTAGAAACAGCGAACTCGGCCTTTCATATTCCACCTCACTGGACACAGTCCCATCTGGTGTAGCCTGATGGAAATCCTGTGCCCACAAACCTGGGCCCCTCATGGAGCTGTTGGATGGTTGCTGAAAGTTGCTGAGGGTGCCCTGTTTCAGTATCTGTTGTCCCGAGCCAGAGGATGAAGAAGAGGAGGAGGAACAGCCTGAGAATCTCGATGTAGGGGTGCCCCCCTGGGAACCTCCACTGGACGATAAATGGGCAACTGCATCCGTAAACTGAGGAAAGACATAGTTGTCAGAGTTAGTAAAAAAAAAAAAACAACCAAAAAAACCAGAAAAATATTACACGCAGTCTGTAGTTCTAATATAGCTAAACAGATAACGCTCTGCTTTTTTTTACACTTTTACATGAGTCAATAATTTCCAGATTCTGTATCATGACCAATTTAAATAAAAATATGTGCTTATCCCAATCAAACTTAAATAGTCTCTTCCTGGTTAACCAAAAGTCTCACCCACTTTCTGATCTTTAAGCCCATGCTCACCGACAACCGGCAATGGTGTGTGGACTGTCTATGTTTTTGATATTGTGTATTATTCATGCATTAACTTATCACTGCACACTGTTGTTGGCCCAACCTTCAATTTCGTTGAATCCGAGTGTTCGTTATAGCAGACATGAGGTTTTTGTGAAGATAATTACAGGCACCAAACAAGCAATGTATAATGTACGCCTATCCAATCAAATATAGTTTGCTTTCAAATGAGAGGCATTTCCGTTTCTTTGATGCCATACCGAAGAAATGCTGGAAGATTTCAGGACACTGTGCAAAAGGGCTAATTCATTCTAATGCAGGCTTGTGTTATCTATCATCTATAATGTATTATTCGCCGAACAAGTTATGCTGCTGTGCTGAGTCTAGTATACGGCAATGTTTGATTTCACAGAACGCATTTCATTACTTAGATCTATGACCAGACTAGCTTATCATTGTACTGTTGATAAGTAGCCGGGGATAACGGAATACCTGCGACGTGTTTGTATCTCTACTGTCGTTTCACGCGCGGTCTGCTTATGTCCCCTCCCCCAAGACACACACATACACAATCAAACATGTGCTGGCTGCCCATCCGACACCGAACACCAACACACGCTAAAACATGTGTGCATGCTAACAATGCGTGAGTGTATGTATGAAAGAAGGCCACTGATAGGTCGCATCAGATATAAACAACAGGCTAAGCAAATAATAATTCATCACGAACGTACATGCCATGGATGGTTTCCAGGAACAGAGAAGGTTCATTGCAAGAGAAAAATGAACGAAGTCACATCAGAGAGAGCTGTTCACCCTTCAAGCGACTTCGTTGTATCCAAGCTTGCTCATTTACATGTTCGTTGAATCCATGTTATTTTTCTTGATTTTTATTAATTGAAAAAAAACTGAGAATCCAACTCGTTTCATTGAATCAAAGTTTTCGTTGAATTATAAAAGTTCATTGAATCCCAGTTCAACTGTGTTTGCGTGTTTACGTACACCATTGTTTGACAAATTTCCCGAGGGGGTCAATAAAGTGGAACGTATTTATATATTTCAATTTACTAGCAGAAAATACATCCAGAATAGAACAGTAAACCAATAGCCTGAAGGAAGGAAGTATTGTGCTCGGTGAGCAGCTGTTTTCTAAAGTTGAGTACACATGAAGAAAATTTACCCCATACTTTAAAAAACTCACTTTTTTTCAATAAAATTACAGTAAATACTACTGACATTTCATAAAGAGCTATATAAATACATCTGTTTCTGTCCATAAATTAAACTTCAATTATATGATAACAAGATAACAGGCAAGTAAATGAATACAACAGACCAGAACTTGTCAACCTGGGAGTGATATCGTCCACTAGTGGGAAAATTGACAAATTTTGTGAGCGGTAAAAATCACCAGAGAAAGGACAGGTTTTACTAAATGCCCCACTTGAAAATACAACACATAGGCAGACAGTGCCAAAATTTTTAGCCTCTTTAGGGTGGAAAAGTGGGTGTTGGCTACAAAAAGGTTGACAAGCACTACAACAGACATTTCACTACCTTAGAATTACAAAATTCTGTCTGCTCAGTACCGAGTTTTTAGAAATGTGACGTTAAAGATTTTGAGTTTCACAACATGTCAGGCTTTTACGAATAACATTTCGTTTCTGACCTCACGGTCTTAGTAACCTAATACAGCTAAAAAATGTCAGATAGAACTTTGTAATTCTGAGGTAGCAATTTGTGTTTATGCAGCAAACAATGAAACTGAAAAGTTCAAACACCTGTACAGGTTAACTTTTGGCACACCCTGCTGCACTGCAGTATAGAACATTTTCTTTTTAACAGAAGTGTTAAAAGTTTAGTAGTTTTACATAGTGCAACAAAACATTTCTTACATTTGAATCCAGAGCTCCCATGAGGCGTAAATATTTCTTGAGGCATTTCGGCACGGGGCTATTCCCTTCCCTGCACAAGAACAAGATGAACCGACGCTCACGGTCACTCATCAAAGGTACAATCTCATCTGGCATTTCCCAGGTGGTAAGCGAATCTTTCTGAAAAAAGATGCGCTGATAGGTACTCCTGTCGTTACTGCGATGAACAGTCCAGTCCATAGGAAGTCTTGAATCCACCTGATTATAAAAGTATTCTGCCGTTATAATCACATTCTAGCATGGACCAACCATCAAAACAAGGCAAATTTATACAGCTAAAATTGTTCAAGAAAAGTGACTGTCTTAGACAGGCCGACAGTGTCATTTTAATATCTTTTTAAAAGCAAGGGAAAGCAGGAATTGATCATTTCGTCGCCCATCTCACAAAAGGGCGTATCGTCAAAATTACCGGTTTTGAGTTAGCACCACCATGGTATGTCCGGTAGTGAGATCTATCTTCTCTCAAAACGGCGTATCGATAGTTTAAAAAATGGCGGAGTTATGAGCAAAAAACATTTAGCCCTATAGCTCTCGGGCAGGAAACTGCATCTCACATAGAGGCGTATGCCTTCTTACGCCCCTCTGTGAGAATACGGAGGCATGTGACCGCATACGCCATGGTATGAGATGTTTCCTTTTGTTTTCTTACTTGTAAATGAGGGGGATGCATCTCATTTCATGTTTAGTAGTCTTGCGATTCTTTCTCGCTGCATCATTGAGGGACTTTTATACGCTTCCTTACCATGAGTTCAAGTTGACAGTGTTGTTTTTGGTACCTGTGCTTTAAATTTCATCCTTGCTTTCAGCGTTTGATGTTCATGTACCCATAAAGTGATAGTATCTTAGCTCATTTGTAAGCTTATAAACATCAACTTTTAAAAATATTTTCTACAAGTAAAAGTTTTAATTAGGTCCATGAGTCCCCAAAGATGTGGTATTGCAGAAAGTTCTGATTATATTGACGATTTAGATGCTGACCCGTCTTTCCACCCTGGTTTCTGTGTCATGCAAGAAGGACATATTTGCAGCTTGTTGAAGGTGTGTATTGCTCCTGTGCTATACATACTGTCACTTTGTGGAAGAAACAGGCTCATGGTAGTCTTTAAAAAAAAGCCATGTAGCATTATGAGTAAAAAACGGATAAAGCCAGAAGAGAATAACTCGATCGTCGTTGGATATTGTACTCAACCTGAAAATTTCATGACAGAAGGTGCAGTCAAAGAAGTGACTGCTCAGAAAGGTCCACAGTCCAATAAGTATAAAGAAGCTAACCACAAAGGACATTTTGGAGATGAGTTCCTTAGCCCTATAACGGCAACACATTTTGGCGCGCACAGGATTTGAGACAGGTATGAATTTGAAAGCTATAAGAAATATGGTCGAAGCTGTCTCACTGTTGCGAATGAAACACATGAGGAAATGTTCCAGCAATATTAGACTTGGAGACCATTATCTATAACGTGAGTTTGTCGTTGGTCACATTGACTGCCCTGAATCTATGAATGAAAGGGACAAGCTGTTCTCACGGACAGAAGACCAGTACATATTACTTGACTGTCGATGGAGCACCGCCATCTGTAAGACAATATCAGCTGAAACTATTGAAGTAAAATAAAGAGGATGATGATACCCAGCAACTGTCAAAGAAAGAGATGAAAAACTTCCCACCCTTATTAATGCTCATATTGCGAGGTTCCCCGCTGTTGACTCACATCACTGCTGTAGGTCAGTTTCGAGTTAAAAGGACTAGCTCTCAAACCTGAACTGAAGAGGAGACAAAACAAAGGCTGAACAATCGCATCCACGGAAAAGCCACAGTGAGAAAACTTAAAGAAGATGCTTTCAGCTGCAATATAATCATAAACTGAAGAGATATTATGGAACAGACTCAACAGAGACTATTCAATAACTATTTATTTCCTACAAACCCACAGTACCAATCAGTGATCTTTAAGCCCCAGAAAAATCAAGTCAAAGACGTTCCATTGAACAGCCTAAAAAACTCCCTATAGCCAAGTACAGCTTTTCATCAGACTGGAGGAACACATAATGTTCTTCTAAATCTGCCACATTTATCTTTCTTCTTAACAAACACTTGCACAATATTTCATTGATAAACAAAGTACTATGGGCTAAAACGTTTATAAGGTATTACACAAATTCATTACACATGCTCAGAATTTATCTTTCTACTAATATTGTTGCTGTCTAAGGATAGTGCGCAGTCCTGAATGAAAGGACCTGTGCAGTACTAGTAATTTTATTCTCATTGTATTGTGCAAATTCTTATAATACCTTGAAGAAAAGAAAGAAAGCTTAACTCTTTAAGTTATTTACATTTCATATCGTGGAGACCCTAAATCTGTTTCATTTTCTTTTTCTTGTCGTTTTTCACTCCCCAAAATTGATCAATTTGGCATATTGAGTTGATAAACCTGTTCAATAATCAAGAAAAAAATCTCTTTTCTCTTATATTCTATTACCAAACGATGTGGCGTATTGTCAATCTTGTGTCTTTATGGACATAATTATGTTCTCACAAACAGGCGTATCAGCTATTTTAGACCATATCTTAAAAAACTGATGACGCAATATCTATAACCGTTACAGGGAATGATAAATCGGTGGTTGTACTAATATCTTGCCAAAAATGTAAACGAAAAAGCAAACGGTTACGACACAGCAAGAACATAAAAAGTGTCCAAAACTTTAAAACGCTCTCCTGAAAAATGCCAAAAATGCTCTTACGCCCTTTTGTGAGATGGACGACGATTTGTTTAGGCGATTGTCTTACACAGGTGGCCATTATAACAGGTTCGACTGAACTTTGTTAATAAAGAGAGCAAAGACTATCAATTTAACTCTTCGACGACGCGCATTCAATTCATTCTACAACACTTGAAGACGAGTTATTTTGGAGGACTTTAAAAAAGGAGCATACCTTCTTTTTCCAAACAGATGTTTCCACTAATTTGTTAAAGGGCAGGTAATAACAAGCACACAATGAAAAAATGCAAATTTGTGTTTCAGATTAATTGTGTATGACGGTTCAAAATGTGCTTTATTTCTGCCACTGGTCTGCTGCTGGTCGAATTTATGTGTCAAATACGTCCTTCAAGAGTTAAAGCTTTGAGCTCTTTGCAACACAACTTGCCTCAAGAGCTAGTTGCCTTCCTACAAAATTCAAACTGGTAAACCAACTTGCCTGGATTTGAACTCAGACTAATTGCCTCAGTGACTACCACCCATTGTCAAGGACAAAAGTGGTCATCTTGGACAGTGTTATTATAATATAGAAACAATGCAACCGGGGGGGGGGGGGGGGGGGGGGATTGGGAGGGGAGAGTGGTCATTTGAGCAGTCATTTTCTTTGACAGGTGGTCATTCAAGCAGGTTCAACTGTACTTACTTACTGAACCCTCCAGCATACAGCAAAGCAAAACCTGTCTGTTCTAGTCGAGTGTCTAAAAGGACTCCTTGTTATGTATCAGGATCTTGAACTCTGATTTTACTGTTCACCCAGAGATAACCAAAAAGGACATTTACCAGAAAAGAAATGGTTCTGCAATCCATGACACTGACATACTGCTTGGACCATTCAGGAGGGTATTGGGTTGTTGTTTTTTCTTAATGTATGTGTTTAACGCCCTATCAAAATAATTTTGGATCATATAGGAGGCAGGCTTCTGACCCTGCTTGTCAGGGCCAACCCAGGCTGAGAGGGATACAACATCCCAGCAGAAAGACCGCGATACTCTATAAAATTTCTCCCCACCCGGGAATCAAACCAAGGTCTCCTGCGTGGAACTGAAAAGCGCCTAACCGGGGTTTTTTTGTTTCTTAGGGGGGGGGGGGGAGTGTTTTTGGTAAGTGTTTTACGGCGCTCGCAACTGCATAAGGTCATATGAGCGCGCAGGACACATTAAACATTTTCATTTGGTAGGAAATTTTGAATTTTGCCTGGATGGCGGCCGAAGCCTACTCTAATTAACTTTAGACCCCCAAGGGATCTTTAATGTGCGCAACGTGCACACGGGACCTCCGCGATTTTTACCCCTTGTCCGAGAAGGCTAGGTGTAGATCTTTCCTATCAGAAGATCAGGGGTGTGGCTGAAAGACATAGTAAGAAGGAGACAAGGAGTAGCAGTAGAAAGGCTGCAGAGCAGAAAGAGTCAGGAGCCCAGAGGAGGGGGCAAAGGAGGTGAGGGGGTGGTGGCAGAAAGTGGAGACGAAAGCAGATGATAGAACAAAGCTAGAGAGCAGGAAAGGAGGCGAAAGGAGACAACTTTAGAGAAGGAAATTTTTCCATCGCTACCAAGATTCGAACCCGGGAGGCGAACACCTTAACCTCTAGGCCACGAGAGCCCCAAACCAAACCGCTAAATCACAGACACTGGTCCAATCAGAAAAAGGAAAAGGTAATGTGGTGACTGACATCTCAGAAAGAAAAAAAGGGCTTAATAACAGCCCCAAGCTGAAAAAAGCCGAAGTAAAGTCAAAGATGGCCACCAATTGTTGTGTCCTTGGGAAAGGCACTTTACACGAATTTTCCTCACTTCACCCAGGTGGGAATGGGTACCCGGCTATAGACAGCGAAAGATCCTGTCAGTTTGTTAGTGTTTGAGCGCTTAATCAGCTGCTTGCACTGTATGCTTCCCGGGAAGCTGAGAATGTTTCGGAGTGTTCTATGGTCTGCTGGGGTAATAATATAGTGTAAAGCGCATAGAGCCTGCTGTTGAGCGGGGATATGCGCTATGCAAATGCTATTTATTATTATTATTATTATTATTATTATTATTATTATTATTTAACACTTTTCCTACCACGAGCCGCATTTTGCAGCTCGTGGACGTGGCCTCGCTGGACCGAGAGCCGCAAAATACGGCTCCAGTGGCTCGCTATCTATTCCAGTTCAGTAATGAAAAGACAAAAAATTCTCGGCCCATCCAATCCACGATTTCCAAATAATAGAATAGACTTCCTGTTAGCAGATGCAAAAGGAAATATAGTACTGAGAGACGATTTTTAGTCATTTCACTGCTTTTTTCGTCCCCTTCGATACGTAAAAATGAGAAAAAAAGCCCTCCCCTGACTTAAGTACAGGTCGCATATTTTCACTTCTATATTAGGTACTCATACAAAACTTTCAGCAATTCTCTGCATTACTTGAGGCAACCTACCTGGGAAGTTTGAAAAATGCTGTTATTGTACTTTTGTAGATATGACCTTTCAACGCTGGAAAATTGTTGATTTCAAATGACACCTTCGATATTACATAATCACTTTTAGAAACCCCAAACTTATATAGTAGGAATAAATCTTCAATTTTGTACCACCATCTGATAGATTATTTTATAACCTTCAGTTCGATGGGCCATATGATATGGTTTGTGTGTGTTTAGTTGGATGTTTCGACACTTTCCTTTGGCGGGGCAGGGGCGTAAAAATAGGTCAGGGAAAAGCCCTGGGCCAGTGGTGGATTTTGGCCTGGTAGGAAAAGAGTTAAGCAGGTGGCCGTCTTGCACAGTGTCATTATGATGTAAACAACAGGCAGGGTGGGAAATGGGAAGCGGCCGTTTGTACATGTGATTGTCTTATAATATACAGGTGACCATTAAAGCAGGCTCAACTGTACCTAACCAACTATTTATTCACCTCAGGGAGCTGGAAGAATAGAAAAAGGATAAAATTCTGCTGTGGAGAGGACAAGAAGAATACTAGAAGAGTGCAAAGAGTACAAGGAAGAAAATCAAAACATCTGATTGTTTGTTTGTTTGTTTGTTTGAGTAAAAATAATCACAATAATGGTCAATTAGTGCTGGGAAAAAGTAAGACAGACAGACAGACAGAAACAACAGAGGGAACGTAAAGAAGTAGGACCTACCCTCCAACCACCCGCAAAAACAAAACAAAACCCATCAAAGTACTACAGGTCCATTGAGGTAAAGACCATTTATGATTTGGCAGACTGTTCACAGCGACACTTTTGCTCATTTTCACAAGTGGGACAAGTTGTTGGGGGGGTGGGTGGGGTGGGTGGGGTGAGGGAGGAAGGAGGCCGTTGAGAGTCTGGTTGGTTGGTTGTTTGGAGGCTGCCCTGTAAGGGACTGGCTTGAAAAATTAGAATGAACAGGCCAGTCAAAGAGTAAGTGTGAAATCATGTGAACACTGCTACAGAGACTGGATATCATCAAAGAGGTACTTTAAAACCTGAACTCCGACATCTCAATAACTGGAAGCCAAGGGAAAACAAAAAAATCAAGCAAGCAAAAAGATCGACATTAATTATAAATGATGAAAACTGTTCTTACATTCCACATCAACACAATTTAGATTATATATGAGACAGACTCTATTACCCTAACTTTTAAGATAAACCCAGGCTGTTGATAATACATCTCATAAGAACAACTGAGGTACTAAAAAGAATATTACCTCACTGGGGAATCAAGTTCCCACCTTAGCGAGCTAGGCCACAAGCATTCATCCACTACACAATAAATGTCAGCACTCACCGTTAAAACTTGAAAGAAGAATAAAAGGTGATTCAAATCCCCATCCCACAAAGAGAGAGTCTTATGTTGTCAATACTAGATATATATGAGAGCACTAAACCGAGCGATAGACTAAGAAAGAATTTAACCAAGTGATATACGCAATCAAAAATACACCTCAATGCCGCAGTGCCTGCAGAACAGTAAAGTACCAGTACAACAGTGACCAATGAGTCAAGAGCTGAGGCTCAGGTTTTACTCTTAAAGTGGTCAAACTTTTTACAGCCCAATCCACTCTGAACTTGCACACCAATTCAAATGGGAAAACGAAAATGACGCACCTGATTCAGGCCACACTCGCACACATCAGTCTCCTTCAGATGCTGGTAGAAATCTTCAAAAAAATCTTTATTGTAGATTTGTGTATAGTACACATCCTCTTTATCCAACTCCGGCAGAGGCAAAGGTAGGGGAGGCTTGTACTTCCAGTAAGTAGGATCATCTCCTGGCAGCAGACCAGAGCTAGTACAAGGAATGTCAAAGGACTGAGACCTGCCCTTGTTTGCCTGCCTCCTTACTTCGGAGGGGTCAGGCCTGTCTTGGAAAAAGTTACTCTCAGACTGTCGATGGGTCATGACACCATGCTTCGGCAGAGCACCACCGCCTAGATGGACTGGTCTACTTCCAGTGACCAGTTCCTGACCATGTCTCGCAGATGAAGATCCTTGCCTGCCTGACGGTGGTGCTGGTGGTCTCTCTGGCAGAGGGGGGACTGCTGGGCCAAATGGATGGAGAGAAGGAGAGTCAACCGTTTCACTTTTGGTATTTACGTGAGAGACAGAGAGAGAGGGGGAGGGGGAGAGACAGCCAGGCAGGCAGGCAGGCAAGCAGGCAGGCAGGCAGGCAGGCAGGCAGGCAGGCAGGCAGGCAGGCAGGCAGGCAGGCAGGCAGGCAGGCAGGTAAGCAGACAAGCAGGCAGGGACAAACAGAAGAAAGAGAGAGAGAGAGAGGGAGAGAGGGAGAGAGAGAGAGAGAGAGAGAGACAGAGAGAGAGAGAGAGAGAGAGACAGAGACAGAGACAGAGAAAAAGAGACAGAGAGAGAGTAAAATGGAAAGAGAGAGAGAATGGCATATGTTGAGTCAGAGCACATGTGTATGTTTGAGCATGTAATGTATGTGTGTGTGTTTGAGAGGATGTGTAAGTGTGTGCATGTGTGTGTTTGAGAGGGTGTGTGAGTGTGTGCTTGTGCACATATGTGCATGTGTGTGTATGAGAGTGTGTGTGTGTGTGAGGGTGTATGTGGAACAGAGACAGAGACAGAGACACACAGAGAGCGAGAGAGAGAGAGAGAGAGAGAGAGAGAGAGAGAGAGAGAGAGAGAGAGAGAAGGAGAATAAAGTACTGGGCGATCTAAAAAAAACTTGAACAACTTTTTTGTAAATATTTTCTTCCATGTAATGTTGAAGCTCTGTGTTTCAAATTTGAACACAATATTTGGCAGCCAAAAGGAATTCGACAGATATTCATTTTAGATAATTCCACATAGTAGTTTTGCTCTAGAGAGCCCATAAGAAAACAACCCATTTTAGCCTTATTCCCATTAGTGTAGCATGATGCTCTAGTTCACATTAGGCCTGCCACTAAAAATCATAACGATCGTGCCATATTGCAAGCTACAGCAGTCTAGGTCAACAGAAGTTTGTAGATATTGTTTTTCTCAAGATTCCTTTACCAGCGAGATCGTGATTAAGTTAAGTAAAGAACAAAGTTTTTTGTTGGAACTTTAACTCACTTCCAATTCATCGTCTCTGACATTTCATAAGTTTTGCACGAGGTATTCGGAAGAAAGCTAAAGTGCCCCCAAGGCCTTCTTTGATGTCAAGGGTTAAGATACTGACTTCCGGTTCAACAGAATTGAAGAGTGATGTGGGTGTTTGTTCTCTGAAGTAAAAAAAAAGGTTTAAAAGCTTGGTTTTTGTCCTCTATATGGTTTGTATGTGTGTGTGTTTATTCGTAATATCAATGAGGTAAGTTCCAATAATTTTGTTTTGGTTATCATGCTTACTTTTTTGTGTTTTCATCATTTTAGTCTCACTTATTGTACTTCTTAGGAAGGATACCCCCCTTTGTTTGATTACAATGACCTTCACCGATACAGATACATAGGCTAAATAGGCTAGAGCAACAGCAGTGGAGGGTGGATCATAAGGGACTGATTTTCTTATTACAAAACAAAAACAAGCAACTTTACAAGTTGAAAGTGATTTAAAACATGGGTCTCTACATCTTTCTTTCCACTCCTTACACAAGAGGATGTTGGTAAAAGGATGTGACCCTCTACAAAAAGAACAAAAATGCAATAGTTGAGTTTATACATCATATTTCCACTCCTTAAACCACGAGGAGATTGGTCTTATAGATGTAACTCAATAGAATGACCAAACACAAAATGAGAATAGACATCTGCTTTCCTCTTGAAAAAAAAAAAAAAGAATGGTGATCTGAACATATAACCTCAAATTGTATGGATTGAATTACCTAATTTAAGGTATTCATACAAGGTATCTGATCCCATACAATCGGCGAATTCCAAGTAGTGTCCTTTTAGAAATTTTGATTTATAATAATATTGCTCCATTTTTTATTTTAATATTATTTCATTATTTTACTCAAATGAATTCTATTGTTAGCATTATTGTTTTTTATATTGATGTTATGGCCGTGTTTCTTCTTCTTCTTCTTCTTCTTCTTCTTCTTCTTCTTCTTCTTCTTCTTCTTCTTCTTCTTCTTCTTCTTCTTCTTCTTCTTCTTCTTCTTCTTCTTCTCATTATCAATATTTCTATTATGATAATCATTAGCATCATTTATTTATTTATTTATCATTTATGTATGTATTTATTTATTTATTTATTATTTAATTGATTGGGGGGAGGTTTTCTTTTTTATCATTAATACCCCCCTTAATCCATAAACGTGTTATCGATAAAAATAGACGGTAACATAAATGATGACACTATGAGGAGGGGGGGGGGTGATGAGAGGGAGTGGGGGGAGGGGGGGGAAACAATTACAGCGAATTATAGGCGATTTCCAGGTTGAGAACCATAGATATGGGGTACATAGAAGCGGAACCAATAAAGTGGCAAAAAGATATTATTAATCCGAATACAGGAAAAAGAGGCTAAAACAGCACCTGGACATGGATGGCTGGTGCCTCTATAAATAAATCATTGATGGTCCGGTCCGGGTAAAGATACTCAATCAATTTGAATCTATTGAGAATCAGGTCAAAAAATTCTCAGACAAAAAGACCACTTCTGGTCGAACATGCATGCACCATTCAAACCCCATGAACCATTAAACGTCACTAGGGTGCAGAATACAGTAGTCGAGTCCAATGAAACCTCTGTCCTGACAATGATTGAAATGTCTGCGGATAGGACTTTTCTATACCTCAAGGGTCTGCATTCTCAAGGGAGATCTTCACCTATGACAGTACCATTAAATGTTCATGTTAGCGAGGCTGATATGGATCAGAGCATGGTAATGTGTTCATGTTTCGTCCATCTTCTTGAAAAGTGTGAGCATGTCCTTGATGACATTTGGTGCCGTGCCAAAGCCCATCTTCACCTTTCAGGATGTAAACTACATAAATACTGTCTATTGGGTACCCCATCCACCCCCCTATTATATCAAGAAGACACTTCGTAATGAAAAGAGTACAGTGTGTGCGGTTTTAACCATTCACGGTTTGGTGGGCCCTTGTGTTTGGCCAACACTGAACATTACGAACGGCATGTCAAAAATGTTTTAAGGCCATAGGAGGAGATGTAGAGCACTGGCTCTAAGACTTTTAGAATAAAAATGTTTGTCTTTTTTTTAACTCACTGTGTGAGAGAAATGAAGTATCGTTTAAATGTTACTGGGATTGAAAATTAAATATTAAAAAGAAAAGGAAGAGTAAAAAAGGAAACCAATTGGTTCATGACATTCTTTACAACATATTTTGAATTGGTGCATTTTGCATTTATGGGTGTTTTTTCTTTAAGTAAGCCATTTTGGTTTTCAAAAATAAGTTTCTACTTCATAAATGTTTTGGCAAATTCCTTTCAAAAGAATTACACCTGTTCCAAATTACAATTTATAGAAAAATGTTTGTGCGAGTAATTCAGAAAAAAAGTTGTAACGTTTTTTTTTGGATCACCCTGTACATTATACTACAGAGGGATTATGTAAAGCTCACCTGAAACAACAGGTTCAGACTTTGTGCGGTTACGGGTATGCGAAGTTGTAGGCTGGCCCACAGTGTATCCCTGACAAAAAAATGCATTAAACACAAAGAATAAAACAAGTTAATTTTCGCCTTTGTTTGGATTCATTGAAAAATTTATGGAAATGAAGTTGAAGCACAAAACCATAAAGACATTAAACATGTACCAGCACAGACCAAGCCAATCAAAAGAGCCAAATACACAGACACATTTCCTTTCAAACTATGTTAAAAGTGAATCACATATAATTTTATTTTTATTACACACTCAAGTATGTGCTGTCAACAAAGTACATACAGGGTGTCTAAAAAAAAAAAGAGGACCAACTTAAAGAGCGATAACTCGGTCATCAGTGCACTAATTTTAACAAAACTTCCAACAAATAAAATTCAACCGTCAAGTTATTAATTTGAAGAAAATCCATCAGTTTCTTTGTCAAATATCAAGTTTTTACAATTTCAACCAAATTAGGGTAAAACGCAAAATTTGCCTTCTTTGAAATGTTCAGCTACAGGGGTGTGATCAGCCTGTTCTGGTTTCAGTACAAGGACAGTAAAACCACCACATTCACATCAGATGGATATCTCACTATGCTGAGAAAGTTTTGGAGAGGTTTCGGGAGGAGAAGGTGTTATGTTGAAGAAGCCTGGTTCCAGTAGGATGGGCCCACACCCAAAATGTCTAAGAGTGGCCCTTGCGCAGTTGTAAGAGAGGTTTGGGGAATGCCTTATAGGCCAAAAGTTTACAAATGAATGGTCACCACATTCCTCCAAACTTAAGCCCTTTAAATTAATATTACCTTGGGGCTATTTTTCACAAAACAAAGTCTACGGAAACAAGTCACAAACGATCGAACAGTTGAAACTCAATGTCGAACAGGAAGTCCAAAGAATCGACTCAAAAACATGCCACAGGATTATTCAAAATTTCCAGTGGTGTATTGGAGCTTGTGCAGAGAGAAATAGTCAATCCTGGGAGATTCGAGTAGCCGTCACCTCCCTGGGTTTATTTGGCATTATAATTTTTTGCATAAATTTGCTGTCCAATGCACAAATAGTGACTATTTGAAATAGATCAGTAGGCCAATGGTTGATTTTCAAGAAGTTGCAAAGTTTTGCATTTCACTTTCACTCAATTTTGGTTGAAATTTTAAAAACTTGATTATTTCTAACATGGTTTCATTTTGACAAACGTAAAGTCCCCCTGGTTGAATTTCATTTCTTCAAAGTTTTATTGAATAAGACTGAGTTATTGCCCTTTAAATGGGTCCTTTTTTTTTTTTTTAGACACCCGTTATTTTTTTCTTCATATCATGTCCCAAAATAACTTCTCTTGAATATCTCTACAACAGCATAACAAACAGCAATGGAGTAACATTTTGGTCCAAACAAGGTACAATTTCCAACAGATTACTGAAATCCAGTGTCTCAAATTTTTGTTTAGGAATATTATTACTCTCAAAACGATGCCCTCTCTGTAAAAAAAAAAATGACCTCAATTGAGATCTCATTTTTACAACTTTTTAAAAAGGCAGCATAAAACTGCAGCCAGTACAAGAGTGAAGAAAATATCAGTCTAAACATAAAAAAGAAAGGCATAACAACAGAGGCTTACATTCAAAACCTGAAGACACAACAAGCAGTAAGATGACCCAAATTATTGCAGCTTGATCGATCAGCTGTGCTTGCCATGGATGGATTTTATTCAAAAAATTATAATCTGAAATGCAGGAGCTTAGCTGAAGGTAGTCCTTCAGAGCGGGATCTTAGTGGTGAATTTTAAGTAGTAAAAATTCTCTTTTCTTAAAACAATGGGATCTTAACCCATTGCACCCGAGCTACGAGTATATTCGTAGCTGCTGCGCGCTTCCATCCACCGAGCTACGAGAATAGTTGTATCAAAATACCAGTCCACAAAATCGAGGTCCAAACCACTTATCCAGGTTTCTATTGAAAATAATAGGTCGCTTGTAGCTTGTAAAAACTTTTGCAAGCTTGTTTCGATCCAGTCTTTCGTCAAGTACGAGTTAGTTTTGTTGTTTTGTCACCGCAAATCATGGCAAGAAAGCGAGAATTGAAATCTTCATGGACAAGAAGAAGAAAAAAAAAGGCCACAAAAAACAACAGTGCCACGGCTATTTTTGGGTTTGTTGAAATACATGACCCATATTTTTAGTTTGTTTTAGGCATAAGCGGCAAAGAAAGTGACAATAGACCTAATAGAAAAACAAGGCGATCGGACTGATTTCAGTGCCTTGAAAACTTTGAAAAAAAGCTAGATCTAGACCACAGATTTACTATAAGTTGCTATGGCTAAATCAAGTGCAGACGAGTCCAAAGTCGGAACAAGAATATAGTTTTCTCTTCTCTTTCCTTCATTTTGCTATCTAATAATATTAAAAGAACATTTAAGTAATATCTAAGCAAAATTTCATATTGATACCCTAAATAGTTCAGGCACAATGCGTGTCTAAGGTAAGTGTTTCGAATTCAGACCAATTTTTCCCGCGGCTCGCTGCAAGCCAGGGTGGACACAAGTGTACTGCTGCGGCAGCGCAGGGTGAATTGGGTTAAGCAAACTAGGATCTATCTTGAGTCAACCGAGATTGTAAATGGTGGGATGTTAGGCGGACACTACTGTATCAGCTTCATCCACCAGGCAATTACATGAATCATATATGGAGTATATATATATATATATATTGTGGCGTCGGTGGCCTAGTGGTTAGGCTCTCGGACTCTCAACCGTAAGGTCGTGGGTTCGAATCCCGTCAAGGACCCGACGTTGTGTCCTTGGGAAAGGCACTTTACACGAATTTTCCTCACTTCACCCAGGTGGGAATGGGTACCCGGCTATAGACAGCGAAAGATCCTGTCAGTTTGTTAGTGTTTGAGCGCTTAATCAGCTGCTTGCACTGTATGCTTCCCGGGAAGCTGAGAATGTTTCGGAGTGTTCTATGGTCTGCTGGGGTAATAATATAGTGTAAAGCGCATAGAGCCTGCTGTTGAGCGGGGATATGCGCTATACAAATGCTATTATTATTATTATTATTATTATTATTATTATTATTATTATTATTATTATATATCATAACAGACACCCTATTAAACTTCTGTAGCAAGGAAAGTGCTCTGCTGTGCTTACCTGTCTCTGGAGCAGCAACGGGTGAAGCAACTTAACATTCTGTATGTTCTGCTTGCAGTGAATATGGTGATCCTTGTAGAAACGTAGCAACTCATCAAAGGTTGCAAAGAGTAGCTTATCATTTATGTAGTACTTGAACTGATCATTTATGGACTCAATCCAAACTTTCGCATGACACACTTCTTGAGGACCAATGCTGAAAAAATTAAGATGATAAGACAGGGTTTTTATAAATGGCATGTTATCTCTCAAACTCAAAGAACTATGAATGACTCATCCTCTCTCCAAAGCTCCACGATTAGTTACATCTTCCATTCCACCCCAAGAACTACATAAAGCACTATAACAATGTGTGTATGACTTTCCAAGTCTCAAACGGAGACCACAATTATTGGGTCAAATCTGAGACACCAGCTGAGAAAGACGACTAAAGTTAACAGAATGTTTAAATTAAAACAGTTAAGACCTATTCTTCTAAAAATTTCTTCAGAAAGAACCATATAAGTTTGCCTCATGGTAAAAGTTCTATTACACAATTGCGCATGGCTGTCTCTAGGGGCAAACTCTAATTTAACCCCTTCGTTGCCTTATGACATACCTGGTACGTCCTGGTACGTCAGGAAAATGCGTATTTTTAGAGCTGTGCTGTACCGTGTACGTCACGGAAGTTGGCAAAACTTACCGCTCCTGGTTGCCTATATGACGTTACATATACATCACACAAATAACCTGACTCTAATTCTTCTGTACGAAGTTTTAGTCACAAATACTGCGTAGATTCGTTTTCCAAAATAAAAAACGTGCATATCGGTACCAAATTTGCTAGTATTATTTTACTACTTTACTTGCAACAGATCTAGACATGTGGGCAGCTGCGTGCTCTCATAAAATGTACTCGTATACATCGAAACGACTTTTTAAAGTCAAATAAATACACTTTTTTACTTAAATTTGCAGGTTATTTGAAATTATGAGTAAGATGGGAGGAAATGGGAAATAAGAAAAGTGAGAAAGTGACAATAGAAGACTCGGTGTCCAAAATATGTCATGACTGCTCTGGATCTAGATCTACACCGCACGTCCATTAACACTGAGACATTAGGCTGCTGTCCAAGGAAACAAAGTCAGCTGAAAATCAGTGCTGACAGTAGGAACGCAATCCCCCTAGCAACGAAAGGGTTAGAAACCAAAAATTAATATTTACGTAAGCATTTCCAAATCTCAGAAGAGAATAAATAAAAAACCTGATGTCCTTATCAGAGGATCAGTCATTGCTATGTGTCTTTTTCATTAGAGGAAAAAAAAAAAAAATAAAGATAGAAATAATATACAGGTCACAAATACAAATAAATTCCTCTGCATACCTTATTGAAACGCTCACAAAGTGAGGATCATTACTTGAATTTGGACGGATCAGGAATGTTCCATGACCTCGGCAATTCTGACGGAGGTATTCTTCAGCCTGAGGAAATGAAATTGCGACACACCTTAGAACAATAAGGTTGGCCATGCTGGAGCAATGATCTTGTCTTTGGGGCTGCACCAGACTGAAGGGAAAGAATTCATTGGACAATGCAAGAAGAGTATGAAGAGAAAGCAGCTGGACTCAACCCATTTTGTCAAGACCAAAGAAACCAAAGAAAAGACAAGGATTGCCTGTAGACAAACTACATAGTGCTGGGCGGTACCGGCGAAACCCAGTGCTGGTCCTTCCTTGGCACTGGGTGTCGAAAACCGCCAGCACCGGTACTGGAACTGAGAGTGACACCAGGAGGTGAAAGACTGCGTCTCGCATAACGATCAGCACCACCCTCACCTCCCCACACACACACACTCACACACCCACACACACAAGTCAGAATCGGGAGAGGCGAGCTGTAATGCACGCAAAATCCCTTTGAAGTTTGCCGCCGCGTGGGATTAAACTTTGCAGGCATGAATTTTTTTTAATAGTTATCGCTGTTAAACATTGATTTCATTTTCGAAATCAGCATATCAAAATAAGCAAAGTGGCTCGCGTGGAACCTGATTTTTTATGCCACACTTAAATTTAAGCAAACTCCATTTTTTATTGTCAATTTTGAACCTGAGTCATGTACAAGGTCACCCACTGCTTTGTGTTCCTGACGTTACAGCTGCTAGGCTTAGGCCTAGGCCTGCACACTTCCCTGGACCCAGTAAAAAACCGTTGGTGTCAGCTCCTTCCCAGAACCGGAACTGGAGGCCTGGGGCCGGTACTGACACCTCCTTCGATAGAACCGGGAGTTCCGGTACTAGATACCAGTACCTGTCCATCCCTAAGACAAACTAAAGTTACCCAGTCAAAAAGTGGTTGATTGTTTGTTTAGTAGTACAGTTTTATTTTGGATACACTCTATGATTTCAAAGTAAGTGCAAGTTGTCCAGAACAGAACATGAGTACATGTCTGTAGAGTGAATGCACCTTTAGAATAGTTATTGTGATGTAGGCCTAAAGGACACATCACGTGACTGACACCTCACGTGACTTCGGGCAAGCCATGGGTAAACTAAGTAGCACTCACTCACGGGAGCCGAAACAAGACACATCGGCTAACCAAGAACTAGCAGAAGACCAGTAGGTGGGGCCCCACCAACATCAACTACATCTAGATCTACTACCGCAAGACTCCTGACTCAACAAGTAAGTCATAACATAACAATGCCTCTCTCTCTTGCCCTATTTAACTCCCAGTGGAGCATAGGCCATCAACAATATTTCTCCAGCAGCTTGTCCTATGCATCCTTTTCTAGCTGTTTCCATGATGTCCCCGCCTTTTCCATTTCCGCATGTACCGCTCGCCTCCATATCTTTGGTCTTCCTTTCTGACATTTTCCTTGCGGATTCTGCGTCAACGCTTATGAGTACATGCGCTACAGTTTTATAGGTGTAGATCTCCTTTATTTCAGATTTTCCCCTTTTTTTCACAATTCCTCAGATCTTAAAATATCTCTAACAACTCTCGTTACTTAACTTATCTCACAAAAGATTCAAGAGCCTTTCTTTCTTTTCAGGGCGGGGTAAGGGGTGAAGGGGGGGCAATCAGTTTCAAAAAAGAAAAGGCATTGATGTTCTTGACCAGGACATTAACACTTTGCCGCCTCATTTCGCCGATTGGAGATGTTTACCACCCCAGTCTCTTTGGATTTTCCCCAAAATATGATGGCAAAGTGTTTAAGTCATCAAGAAATTCAATTGGAATGTTCCTTTGAAATACTCCGAGCGATCTATATTTTCCCTTAAATAATTTGTTCCTTTTGCCCCTGCTAAGAAGAACAAAGATAAAGTCTTCCTACTAGATGGGCAACACCACACAGCCAAATGGTCACAATTATTTTCAAGACGGGAAAAAATCATAAAATTAGAACTATAGCTATTTCATACGAGATTTTGTGTTGTATCTACACAAATGAGATCTCTCAGACATAACTACTTCAAGCCGAACCCTTTTGAAGAGATAATTATAGCATTGTGAGGGTTTAGACACCTCTGTCAACACAGTAAGGCTGTTTATGAAGAGGGACCTCAAAATTTAATCTCCATCTCCGACAGGACCGAATCAAGTGGGAGGAAAGCCTTGAAAACCCAAAAGAATCTAAATTTTAAAATCTTGTGTCTCAGGTGTAAACCAGGATCATCTGAATCGTAGTCCAGCATGATAACTGCTGAGACAATGGTGAAACTTTGAAGATGATATAGTTCTAAAATACTGAAAGAATAAGAAAGACAATTATCTGATACGAACCTCCAGCCTATTCTTGATACTGCTATAAAAGAATGGAAGACGCTCAACCTCAAGTGGGTACATCACTCCGATCTTCTGTCTCTCATTCATGCCAGCCATCACAAATGCTGGTCATATCTTTCCTATAGAAAGAGGGAAAGTAGAGGAGTTTCAAGCATTATACCATATGAAACAAAAATGTGAAATACGACTCAACTGGTTAGTTATCAGTACAGAAAACAACACAGAGAAAAGAGAATAAATGTAAAACAGAACTGTATCTTTACAACTTTACGTGACAGAAATGCTAACAACAGGAATAATTCAAAGCATTTCTGATATTAAGGAAATATCGTCAAAATCTTCGTAGCATTTTTCAAGTGGGGAGTGGGAAGTAATCATTTGTACAGGTGATTGTCTTGGACAGATGGCCATTAGAGCAGGTTCAACTGTATCAGGTTCAAACATTTTTTTCATGGCTTGTCAGAGTAATGAGATTAACAAAGGCTGCTGACAGGAAGCTTCAAACCCTCATCAAAGGATTTCTTTTTTAGTTTTTGTTTAAATAAAAGCATACTTGTCAATTTTGAACCCAAAGTCATCAAATCAACGTCACCCACTGCATTGTGCGTCTGACATAAAAGCTTCTAAACACTGCACAGTCACATTTCAGTGTATAGCAGTTGTTGGCAACCTTTTCAGTCAACTAGGCCACATCGGTGCTTAGAGAACAAGGCCGGCTGGGCCGCAAAAATTTGAATCATTTGAAAACAACAGTGCATGTAATGACATTGACAACCTTTATATAATCATTACATAACATGAACCTGGTTTTATAATTATAATCTGCTCTTTTGTTTCCTTTTTGTTTTAGTAAGGTTTTACGGCGCTCGCAACTGCAAAAGGTCATAAGCGCCAAGGGGTGGATGTCAATAGAGAAATCCAAACGGGGAATCAGGCTTACTCTGCTCACGTCTCTAACCTCAAGAGCACAAAATTTAATCTGTTTCGACTTTCAAGGCACCCCGGAAATAGCAATTCACAAGAGAGTGACAAACATGCAAAAGCAGTAGAGGAAAAATGATGATAGTAAGGATGAGGAAAGAAAAAACAGCAGTTCCCCCTATGTTGTTTCAGCACAGTATGAGCACGACATAGATAAATCAGTCCATTTGCAATTCTACTGTGCATGATATGAACGTGTTAATATCCCCCCTTTGGGAATGGCCTAAAGACACTTCACAGTCAGAGAGAGCACTGCCTGGGGAGGGGGGGGAATCCGCTCTAAGCGAGTCCATGTAATCAAACTTTTAAGACAAACAATTAGCGATGTTGGGTGATGCAGGAAAGGGTGTTAGCATCTCATCACAGATGCTTACATCTTCTGTATCTGCTCAAAACCAGCCCACGAGCGTCTCTTTTTGCAACAAGGGGAACAATGTACCGATAGTTGATATAAAGTACATTGAGACAGTCATTATGATTAATAAGTAGAGGAATTAGGCTGAACAGAAGGTTGCCAACCTCTGATGCACAGTATGGTGATTTGTGAAAAGTCACTGTTCTTCTGTTCATTGAGATGTACAGATCCAACGAATGTGTGTTGATGATTAAGTCTAGAGACAATGGTTACATAATTAAGAAGAGAGGGCTTACGAAGAACTTACAAGCATCATTTTTAACAGCTTCAACATGATTCAATTTTTAGCGCCTCCTCTATGTAAGTCACGAAAGTTGGCAAAATTTGCCACTCCTAGTTGCCTATATGACGTTACATGAACGTGACGCTAATACCCTGGCTCTAATTTTTTGCACGGAGTTTAAGCCACAAGCGCTGCGTAGATTTGTATCAGGAAATAAAAGGCGTATCGGTACCAAATTAGCTTGATTAACTTTACTGCTAGGCATGTAGGCGATCGATAAAAACAGATCTAGGCTTGCAGGCAGCTGCATGCTCTCGTAAAACATAAATATCAAAATTACTTTTTAAAGTCAAACAAATTCACCTTTTGACTTAGATTTGCAGGCTATTTAAAATTATGAGTAAGATGGGAAGAAATGGGGAATAAGAAAAGTGAGAAAAGTGGCAATTGAAGACCCGGTGTCCAAAATATGTCATGAGTGCGCTAGATCTTTAACACTGTGACATTAGGCTGCTATCCTGGGAAACGAGCTTAACTGAAAATCAGTGCTGACAGTAAGAACGCATACCCCCTGGCAACAAAAGGATTTATGAATAAATAATCTCAGAAACAGTACTGTGAGTGAATATAATTTCATTTTAAAAGCCAGTCTTCAGACCAAATAAGCCTCACTTTCTTTCTTTTGTTGTTAAGCTGTAACAGCACAGAGTGCACACAAAACGATCTATTGTTGTGTAAGAGTCATAGATAGCACAGCAGCTTTCTGACAAAAGGATGAGGAATATCCAGAATCAAAAGAGAACCAGATGATAAAATTGAGTGTGTGAAAGTAAATTTATGTAAGAAAAATATGCAGTTCAGTTATAACACTGCCAAGTCTAGTGCAGGATATACAATGGCATGATTTATCTCTGTGAGCAACCCAGGCTGGCTCTCGGGAGAAGTGGTCCCGGCCTAACTCCATAGAAATTTAGGCTTGATCTATACATTATGTACACAATCCGAAACAAAAACAGAAGTCGCGTAAAAAAAATGGGAGGGGGTCCCTCACCCTCCCTGGAAAAGTGGGGGGGTTCAGGGGGGTCTCCCCCCTACTAAATTCACAAAAATAATGGTTTGAAACAGTTTTTAGTGCCAAAATTGTTCTCAGCACTCAAAAAAATGATAAAATAGTGCCGAAAGATAGTCTAAAATGGGTTTGGACCTTTTCTATAAATTTACCGGTGGTGTTTTCACTCTGGCAACTCAGTCAGCTTTTTTACTCGACTTCTGTTTTTATTTTCGATTTTGTGTATGAATTTCTAAGGAGTTAGGCCGGGACCACTTCTCCCAAAGAGTGCCCCGAGGCTTGAGGCTTGAGAAAAAATCTGAAAGTGAAGCACAACTTCCTGAAAAAATATAGACAAATAGTTTAAATAGACTACCTCTCAGCTCTTTTTGAGTACCGTATCAGACTGAAACTGAGTTGTTGTAAGCTTTAAAGGGAGAATCAACCAAATATCTACTCCCCATTCCCTAACCAAATGTTTCAATTAAAGTTAAATCTAGTCAGTAAAGTAAGTTAGAACTTAGACTAAGCCTTTGTGGTACATCTACTTAGACCCAGATTCTAGATTGGCGCTCTTTGGAAATTGCCTTCCCGTTCCATTGGCAGCCTTTTTTAAACTGATAATTCCCCATGCAAGCGTGAAGAATGTGTATGGGGATTTTTTTTAATTATTATCTTTGCCAGAGGGGCAAACCCCCTGAAACCCCCCACTATCAAGGGGGGGCAAGCCCCACTCAAACCCCCCACTGTTATGGCTAGTGCGCCTTGATACCATGGTGAGTTCACCAAAGTTAAATCCGGCCAAAATACATTTTAAATACAGAAAAGGCAGAAAAATATTCCTCGCTAATGTGGTAGGGTTCACTTAGCCTACATGACTACATGACCACTTTTTTGTCCTTTAGCAATCACTTCTGTTTCTTACATATATATATATATATATATATAATATATATATATATGTGTGTGTATACAAACTGGAAGGCAATTTCCAAAGAGCCCCTCTACTAGATCTACCTCTAGATCTTATCTAGATCTACCTTGATCTCTAGTTGGTTAGTTCTGAAGCCAAATCTCATATAGAATCTAGATCTAGTTCCAGATGTGAATCTTAATGTAACAGTATTCAAATAGAATCTACATTCTAGATCTAGATCTAGATCATCTAGATCTAGATTTAGATCTATAATCTAGATTATATTTCATAAGAAACGAAGTGGCTAGCCGTACTTAAGACTGAGAGTCTAGTCGTACTTAAGTACGCCTAGACCAGGCCATTCTAGCCGTACCTAGATCTAGGTTTGGCCCTATCGACTCAAGCCTGTTAAGTACACAGGTCTCATTATTAGATCTAGATCTAGAGATCTAGAATCTATATCCTAGAAAAATCTAGATCTAGTAATTATTCAGGTTCAAATACATGCAAGTCAGTAAGGCACCTGGTTTCGTCTCAAATGTACTGCACACTAAAAATTTATAGGAAGAGGCTAGCCGTACTTAATGACGGCTAGACTGGCAGTCGAAATTTATATTTTTACAATTCAGTAGGCCTATTTTTTTTTAATGGTCAGTCTAGCCATCATATTAAGAATAAGTATGACTAGACTGGCAGTCTAGCCGTACTTAATACGGCGCTAGACTGCCAGTCTAGCCGTCATTAAGTACAGCTAGCCTCTTCCTATAAGAAAAGGCCTGGCCTGATCTGATACTTTTCTGAAATAATCATAATAATAGTAGAGATCTAGCCTAGATATATTAGTTGCTAAGTAGTAATAGAAGTTAGTCTACTGGGGAAGATTGAAGAATATCGGACCACCACTCGTACATTATTGCGCGAGAAAGTGGGGTAGTAGGTGGGGCGGGTGGTTGGGGTGGAGGAG